GTATAGGGTTTGCCAGGAGCAGGTGGTGAGTTGAACCACTGACCCTGTATAGGGTTTGCCAGGAGCAGGTGGTGAGTTGAACCACTGACCCTGTAGTTCAAACGACCTTGAGGTCCATTCATTGCATTATCTTACAGCACCAAAGCAGAACTCCAGCTCTACATTGAAGACTAGTTAGTGTAGAGAGGACTCTTGAATTGTGCTTACAGCCTGGGAAGAAGCTCTCAGTAAATGTCCTTTTGTTCTTCTGGCACCTAAGGTCTCAGAGTGATTTTGCAGAGCTTTGTTTACCTCGATTGCTCTCTTACTTGTAGTTACGAAACAAGCCACTAGGCGATGCTGAAAGACCTGGTATCCACCACCTTGCTCCTCAAAATAACCAAACCCAGAGTAATGGCTGGAAGCTGGTATTGGTTTGAGGGAAGGACTAGTGTGGAAACAAAGCTTTCTGTTTGGTCAGTCAGTGTTATTCCCAGTAACGTAGGACAGTCGTTAGCGGCAGCTTTAAATTGAGCATGTTCTCTGACTCCATGGGGCCTGGACGCAGCTGAGACGTGTAAGGAGTGGCACTTTCAGATGGGCCTCAGTGTAGCAGGATTGGTGTGAGCCTTCTCATAATGGGCATGGGTTTTTTGTTTTTAATTTATAATATCTGAATTAAAATACTTGTACCAATTTTTGGACCATTTATAAAACAGTTGACATAGAAAGGAGTTTCTGATCTTGTAACTCACAGTAAGAAATGGATGAAGGTAAGTTTGTGTATTTGTTGACATTTGAATTTGGCAAAATAATTCATTTGACTAGTTCAAGTCTGGAGCTTGCCAGTACAACTGTTTTAGAAAAGAAAGACTTCTTTTCTTGGAGCGATGCTTTGAGTGGATGCTCATATTAAATGTATTCCTATTTAACTTCTCTTTCCTAGGACACAGTGGCACTGTGGGATAAGCACTGAACTTCTGACGCAAGGTCGACAGTGTAAAAACCCATTGACTGCTCTGCAGGAGAAAAATAAGGCTGTCTTTCCTGTAAAGAGTGACTACCCCAGAAGCCCTATACAGAATCACTATGAGTCGGAATTGACTCAGTGATAGTGGGTTTGGTGTACCGCACAGTTTAAAAATAAAGGTTGAGTGTAAAATGACCACCAGCCCCTGGGTGTGGAGTCCTAGCAGTCCTCACCTACAGTGTGGTTGCTCTTCTCCCTTCTGAGCCTCGCATCCTTATTGAGTAAGGGGGTTGGCAATCAAGTCCCTTGGATTACTAATTAACACTTGTAAATTGTAAAGCACATGCTAACTATAGAAAGTGTCAAATTGCAGTTGTCATGATTATAAGATTCATAATGGACCATGGGGGAGACCTTGTCTCATTTCAGCTTTTGATGGTTGTATAAAGATGTCATTCACAGCTGTCTTAACGGTATAAAGAAATATGGATGATATCGCAGAGTTAATTAGAATAAGAAATTAGATTTGTTTCTAAACAGAACAAGGGAAGTACAGTGTGTAAAACAGTCCCCAAGTTGAACTTATGTTGGAAAAATAAGGCTTATTAAAGGACAGAGTCCTGAAGTCCTGGCCTGGCACTATAAAATAATCACTGGACTACTAATCATAAGGTTGGCTGGCATTTCAAACCTACCAGTTGCTCCTTGGAAACACTATTTAAGGTCCTTATGAGTTGTCACCAACTTGACAACACTTAGCAATAACAAGAGACGGAAGGCAAAAAGAGTGTCCACTCTGCTGTGTTAGAGTCCTGGTATGGCGCTGTAGGTGAAGCACTGGATCCCAGGGTCATTTTGAACTAAATGATCGGCCACTAGCTACTTCTCGGAAACCCTAATCTGGGTCACAATGAGTCAGAACCGACTTCAGGGCACCTGACGACAACATCAATGTTCTGTTAGGCACACTTAGTTGCTAGGGATTCTGTGTATCAACACCTTCCTAACTGGTGCCTGAGCAACTTGCAATGTTAATGTTCAAGGAAGACCCGCATCTTTGGAATATGTTTGTGAATACTGATCTATGAGGATTTTTTTTAAGGTTTAAACCTGTGATCCCTAGTTCTATTCCCACAGGTAGGTAAATAACTTGCTGGTGTTGGAGAAAATAAGGATTTGAAAATAATTTCACTATTAAATAATACACATGATGTTGAACAAAACTTTGGCGATAGCAACAAGTGCCCTGTTTTTGATGACAAGGTTTATTGAAGGCATGTTTAACTCTCGCCCCAAGTAGAATATAAGAATGCAGATAAATGTTGTTCGTTAATTTCTTAAATATGCTTTATTCTTTCAGAGTTACTGGAGACTGTCACCCTCTTACATAAGCCAGTGTCGTTGCAACCCCGTGGACTGATCAATAAAGGAAACTGGTGCTACATTAATGCTGTATCCTTCTCAGATGTTGTCCCCACAACCGCTGCTTCCCTGCACACTTGTCTTCCTCGGGTGAATTTCACTTAGTTCAGTGTCCATGGGGCGTGTAAACAAAACCTTGAATCCGACAACTTGGTTCATTCAAAACAAGGTTATTGAAAAACAAAAACAAAATCAAGCTAGCTTTGTTATCATTAGAGTGGCCCTTACCTAAAACTGGAAATAGTATATGATGTGTTGTGTTATCTTGGTTGGACAAATTCTTGAATATCAACCACTGATTGTATAGCAAATGCTTAGATGGGTTTATCCAGCAGTTACCCTGGGGATTCCTTGATTTATCCCTTTTTGTGTTTGTGTATCTGAAGTAGTTCAGGGTACTCATCTTACTTAGTTTTAACGTGCGCGCATGCAGTGGGTGTCTGTTTCACTTCCTTTACGCTTCCTTACTGCTGGCATATAGACACTGCAGGCATTGGTTGCTTGCCCTCCGATGTATCACCTGATGAAGTTCATTCCTGTGTATTCCAAAGTGCAACGGCCTTGTACGTCCACACCTATGATAGACAGCTTGTAAGTAAGGAGCTTAAAGAGGTTCATGTTAAGGGGGGTGGCTTTCTGATCATTGGAATTTAAATTACTCAAGTTCTTAATTTCTTGCAAATGGGTCCTTTAGTTCCCTCTTTTTTTTTCTTTTTTGGTATGGAAATGGAATCAGAGCATTCATTGTGCATCTGTGTTCTTTGGATTCAGTAGAACACATTTCTGTTTGCCAGTGTCTGTCATTTATAGCAGTGCTGTGTTGGTTAAGGGTTCAGAGATGGGTAACTGAAAGGTCAGTGGTTTGAACCCACCAGCTGAGAAAGCTGTGGCAGTCTGTTTCTATAAAGACTCCAGCCTCAGAAACCCTGTGGGGGCAGCTCTACTCAGTATTGAGGAGGCTTCACGAAGTTCATGGCAAAGTCCCGTTATCTATAATTGCATTTTTTCCATGAACTTTTTGAAGTCTCCATGAATTTAAAAAAATGGAAAAGATGTAAGAATTCACTAGCTAGGAAACTGTTGCTTACTAAAGTCTACTATATTAATGTTAATTAAAGATCTGCTTAGCCACCAAAGAGCTGTAATAAAGTATCTTTTTTTTCTCTCTCTCTCTGTTTACATGTAGTGTTCGGTTAATGAATGAGTTCACTAATATGCCAGTACCTCCAAAACCCAGACAAGGTCAGTAACAATGCAGTCTCCCCGCTGTTCCCCACTGGGAGTTAGTGAGGCAGCGGGCTGCACCTGGAAATGCAGGCTTAGTGGAAAGAAGATACGCCTTGTGGCTGTTGCTGCGTTATGTTCAACATTTTAGGGGGACTGTCTGATGACTTTGTGTTTCATCATTAAAGAAAATGCTCTAATTCTGAAAACCATTGTCTGTTCCCACTGCAGGTCTTGGGGATAAAATTGTGAGGGATCTCCGTCCTGGAGCTGCCTTTGAGCCCACGTATATTTATAGACTCCTGACTGTTATCAAGTCGAGCCTGTCTGAAAAGGTTTGGGACCATCTGATGTAGCCAGTGTGAGGGGCTGTGTTTGGCTCCAGGCTCCGGTTAATGGTTGCTTGTTCCCTGTGTGCGCTCCATTTCCAGTGCTGTAACTTGTGGGGTATTTAGGAGTGGTTGGGGGCTTCTCATAGAGTTAAGTGCTTGGATGACTTTTACATATGTGATGCTGATGGTCATCCTGGTAGTCGGGGCTAACTCACCATAGGTTTCCTGGGTGCTTATTCTATGTGGCTGCCTCGTACATAAGCTGATTCACCCTCATGAGTAGGTAGCACCATTGTCTCCTTTACAGTTGAGTACAGCATAGTCACTGCCCAAGGTTACAGGCATCAAAGTCAGAGTCTGGCTTTAGAGTCAGTTTAGAAACCAAAATCAGCAGAGGGAAAAGGCACGTAGGCTGAGGTCCTGGGGAGCCAGAGGCTTGCTCCCACGTGTCCTCTCCCTGTGGGATCGAACATGCTTCATTCCTCCAGCCAGGAACAATAACAATGTGAGAGATGTTATCTCCCAAGGAATCTCCTTAGGGGGCCAGCGCTCAGGGATTTCTGGGGTGACTGGGTGCACAGATGTCAGTCAGCAGAACCTTTACTTTCAGGGCTGTTCAAACATCCTGGAGCCCAGATACTTACAGAGAAGCGTGCAGAAGGGCCCATGCCCACCCACAGGGAGAAGGAGAACCCCTGGGCTTGTCAGAGATGGCTGAGTGTCTGGCTCTTGCTCTTCTCTGTTATTTAAGTAAAAGTAAATTTTTAAGTATATTTTAAAAACATTTTTCATGCATATTTAGTGTAGAAAAAATCTAAACATACAAGAAGCATAAATAAGAAAATGAAAATCCTCTTTGGTTCCACTACCTAAATTCCATTATCTTGTAATTCCATTTTTCCATGAACTTTTTGAAACTCCTCCATCATATATGTTACATAAATTTTTCTTGAAAATGTCAGTGCAAGTTTGACTATGCAAGTACTAGCTCTTTCATTTGACTCCTGAACCGTTAAGGTAGAAATCAGCGTGATTGCATTTGACTTTTCAGGGCCGACAGGAAGATGCTGAGGAATACTTAGGCTTCATTCTCAATGGGCTTCACGAGGAGATGCTGAATCTAAAGAAACTTGTCTCACCAAACAGCGAAAGTAGGTTATGACATAACTGTTTGCCCCATGATTGTATGAGAACATTTTGTCAAGAATGATTTTTAGATGAGTGTTGTTTGCTCATATGATAAGTTGCTTGCCTCCCCGGCTGCCCCTCAGAATCACTGGCGGCTCATTGAGTTCCCTATTGATGCTCAGTGGCCGCTCAGTGTTGGGTTTTTGCCTTCTGGTCGGAAGGCCTGAGTTTGATTCCCAGCCGATGGCCCTCATGTTGCAACCACGGCGGAGGCCAGCGCATTGCTGGGATGCTGAGCACATTGCAGCGGATGAAGATGTGCTAGGACGAAGTGACAGCCCAGTGTATCACAGCGGTCACAGCCTGTCTGTGCAGGGTTGTCGTGAAGTGGGCGCTGGCTCGATGGCATCTCACAACAGCAGAAAGTTCATGTTTACGTGACCTGTTAGGTCCCAGTGAGGGCACTACGTTTGAGTAAATCCAAGAACCTCTTTGTTCCTGTCAACTTGTAACTAGGAAAAAATCCCAGCATTCAGGAAAGCAAGAGCACAGCTCAGTGTGTTAGAAATCCCAACCCAGGGCCAGCGAGTGGGTTCCAAGGCTCTGCGTCTGCACAGGCGCAGACTGACCCATCTCGGTCCCCAGGTGCAGCTGGTGGGTTCCGGACACTGATCTTTAGTTAGCAACCCAGAGCTTAACCCACAGCACCAGCAGGCATTTTCTATGGCTTGGCTTCTGCAGTTGCTAGCATGGTATTTTTGCTCCTTTCTCTGCAGCACCTGTGTACCATGTCTGTGCACATGTGTTCTCAAAGGTGCAGCGTTGAGTTGCAGGTAACTTACACGTCACCCCTCAGCGCTCAGGTGAGCGTCACCAAGAAGAAGGATACTTTACATTCCTCCTTGGGTCAAGACAACAAATGGAAATTACTTCTTAAGTCTTTCCTTCCAGTCAAACAGCAGATCACTCGCATCCCAAGAAAGCCTCTTGTTAAGTGCCATCGAGTTGGTTCCGACTCACAGTGACCCTGTACAGGGTTTCTGAGGAGTGGCTGGTGAGTTTGAACTGCTGACCTAGCAGTTCAAACTGACCCTTTGGACCAGTGCTGACCCCACAGCACCACACCAGGACTCCTCAAGAACTTTTTTCAGTGAAGCAATAAGGTGGCACGTTTGCATTGGTTGGTAGTGACTTTTAATGTAGAGCACATTAATGTTTCTAAAACCATAAAAGAACCAATCTGTTTAGGTGCTTTGTGCAGAAGAACCCTGTATTTCACCATTGCAAGTCGCCTTAAGTCGGCTGTCTGCTTTTCAGAACTAACTGTTTCCAATGGACCCAGAAGCCCCCTGGTAAACGAAGACGAGCAGGAAGAACACGGCGAGGGAAGTGAGGAGGAATGGGAACAAGTGGGCCCCAGAAATAAGACCTCGGTCACACGGCAGGCGGACTTCGTTCAGACCCCCATCACCGGCATTTTCGGTGGACACATCAGGTTGGAATAAGTCAGCATCTGAGTGCCCAGAATCATTTTGGAATTGGTGACTTCCTGTCCCTCTCCCTGCCTGCTCTTCTCTCGCACTGCTTGAGGCCTCCCTGCCGCCCCGCCGCTTCCACCCAGGCTCCACCCCTCAGTCCAGGAGCACCAGTCATGGCGTACCAGCCGCTAACCTAAGTGTCTGATTCTGGGGGAACCAGTTGAAGCCGAAACAGGAAACAAGCCACTTTTGATATATCATTTTCAATGTATCTTTAGTGTCAGAAACTAAAGACTGATGTTTTTTAAGGAGGCAGGAATACGTGGGGGGCCTGAGTCAGGGCCCCCTTAACACCAGTGGCCTTTTGCTGACTCATAGTCATTTGTGTACTTTGTTCTTCTGTTAGAGGCCTTGTTCTATCTCCCTGGAGGTTTCCTCACCAGAGCCCCTAAGAGCAGCTCCTTCTGGCAGGATTCCTCTCTGAAGCCTCTCTGCATTCCCAACTGAGGCCCCCCCCACTGTGTCTCCTAAAGGACAAGTGCATTTTCCAGGAGACCAAGGGTTTGTTCACATGCCACCCCAGCTCACAAGGGACCAGGGCTTATTTAGCAGGTGGATACAGCTCTCAGGAGACTTGCAGACACACTCACACTCAGAGCAAGTTAACAACCCTGTTTAGATCCAAGGTTCCAAGCTCGTTAGTCCCGTGCCACTAAACACGTCACTGCTATGCTCCTGCCGTGTGCTGGGGTCCACAGACCTCTCTTTCCTCTGGAGTGGCTCCAGGCAGCTATGGGGTCAGGCGGATGCCTGGGCAATGCTGCTGCCCTATGGCTGTGACTGGTTTTGACCAGAGATGGTTCCTAGGGATGGGCCATGTTGGAGAAGGAGGCAGACTGGACTCCAGGCTGACAGCAGTGTGTGTGCTGGAGACGGGCTGGGGTGTCTGTGTCCTGAGGTGTCCCCTGAGCCAGCTGCCTGCAGGGATTCTTAGAACATTCACTGAACCAGGGATGCGTTTAATAGGAACATCTTGGGGAACATGGGTGGGCTACCTGTTTTGCCAGCACCACCCAAAGGTCTGCCTTCAAGAGTTACTGATGAAGCGAGACCTACAGAAACCCTTTGGGAAAAGTTGGTAGCTTTTTATGGACAGCTGTGTCCTGGCCACTGGCTTGGCCTCTGTGGGGTCTTTGTGTTGAAAATGACAAAGCAGCATTGCTGATCTCTTCCTTGTAGCCCCGGGCAGCGTGATTTAGGCCCGTCTTCCAAGCATTAGTTCCGTGTCCTCAGAAAAACTGGCATGTTTCCACCCTTTTCCTCTGCTTTTGATCAATAATGGGCATTTGGAGTGAAGAGGGCTGCTGCTTGATTTCTTCCCCAATTTCAATGACTAGTTGCTACTCTTTAGAGCCAAGGGAGTCCTTCTACCCAAAAGGAAAGGGAAAATACTGTGTAATAGTCTGTGCGGAAGCAGCATCTGTCCATGAAGCCCTGGCTGGAATACTCAGCCTGCTTTTCATAGCCCAGGAGAGGATGCCCATACCTGTTTTGTCGGCTCAGTAGTGGGGTCACTGAGAATGCAGAACTGGAGCCCCTTGTTAGATAGCTGCAATGTTTCTTAACTGAGCTGAAGTGAGAGATGACTCAAGCACACAGTCTTTACTCAGAGGAGCTTAAAGGAAAGTGTAATAAGTACAGCAAACAAGGCTGCTTAGACGTTTGTCCTTTTGGAAGGGTAGCAGCCGTTTTCCTTGGAATGTTACCTTGTGTTTTGGTTTGTTGGCTTATGCACCCTTCTCCTCCCACTTATTCAGTTTTTTATGTCGTTTATATAAAAGGTCAATGCCATTAAACATATCTATTCAACTTGGGGAGGCCCCTGATTTTGAAAAAGCAAAAAGTGAGCGTTTTGAGACTTTGGGAAGATAGTCACATTTCTGAAGTGGTGTTTTAAATAGTAGCACAGGGTGAAGGTGGAAGAAATTGGGAGACAAAAATACAGTTTATTCCAGAATTTCTTCCAGGTTGGGTTAGACTCACTTGATGTGTGATACTCAGCTGGAGTCTTCCAGTCCTGTGGAGTTTGGGCTTTCTTACCCGTCTTCTGAAAGTGAGGCTGGAAACTCTTATTTTTAACATTTATTCCTCTCTGGCTATTTCACATTGGAGGAAAAGAGGGAGGAATGGTCTGTTAAATGTTTTGGTTTTGTTTTCAATTCTTAGGTCTGTGGTTTACCAGCAGAGTTCAAAGGAATCTGCCACACTACAGCCATTCTTCACGCTGCAATTAGACATCCAGTCCGACAAGATACGCACAGTCCAGGATGCGCTGGAGAGCTTGGTTGCAAGAGAGTCTGTCCAAGGTTACAGCACAAAAACTAGACAAGAGGTATATTCACAGTTGGTCTGGAACCCTCCCACCGAGGCGCCCTGGTATGCTGGAAAGAGGACACAGCTAGGACTCAGACGAAAGGGATCTGAATCCTGCCTCCAGAATCAGTTGCCTCCCTCTTCTGAACTGAAAGCTTCCACGGTTTCTTACTGAAATGTCTGAAATAGACGATCCCTAAAACCTCTTTGAGTTTTGAGTTCATGCACTGTGAGGTGATGGCTCCTTTGGGCTTGTTTATCCTTTGCTGCGTTTTATTTCTCGTGATTGAATCATACAGGTGAAAGCGTTGATTTACCTTCGTTGTATCCTAGGGCTGTATCTTTATTAGATCTGTTAGCTTAGTAGATAAGAGATTCTAAACCCCTCCTGGTTAGCAGTGTATTGTAGAAAGTCAGGAATGCTGACGAGGAAGGCTCTAAAAGGGCAGTTGTGGTTGTGATGATGATGATGATTTGGTAATGGACAGGTGGACAGTTTCCAGGGTGCAGGAGCTGGGGACGAGCTCAGTGGTGGTCCCTGTTGGGAGGGATCGCTAACTGCTCAAGTAGAGGTGGGCTTCCTAGTTACTGCACATAGACTGGCAGTGACTTCAGCAGCCAAAGTTGGGAGAGGAATGCGGGCAGGGCAGGGCAGTCTTGCTCAAGCCATTGATGGATCAGAGGAATGCTGCCTCAGTGACAGCTAGTGCCTGGTGGCTGCGAGCCATTCCTGTCCGGTGAAGCCCACCACTGCACGGCATGGCTGAGTGAACCTGCTTCTGTCTTGCTGCTTGCCCTCCACACAGAAGAGCACATAGGATGCGGGGACCTTGAGTTCCTCTGAGTGTTTGCTCTTGGGGTCAGTGAAGCCGGAGAGCCTCAGGGAAACTTTAGAAACCTCGCCTCATCTTCTACCCAAGTTTCCAATTTGCTTCTCATGGGCAATTTTGTTTTTTAAAGGGTGGTAAGAGATAGACAGACATTTGGCTTCAGGGAGTAAGCTGAGAAGAGCCTGGCCTGGTGGTGGAGGTTCACTGGGAGTGAGCTAGAGCGGGCATGTGTTGGTCGGTGTGGTGAAGTGAGGTGTGTGTTCTTGGCCCTGGGTGCCTTTGGCTGGCCTCATTTCTGTGGCCACTCTGACTCTCCAGAGACGGGGTTACTGTCCCAGCAGCTGGGGCCAGTGTTCTCACTCACACTCTGCTTTCAGCTACTGCTCTCGCTGGGAAACTTTTCCGCCCTTTCCTGGGCAATCCCGAGGGAAGAGCCTTTCACGATGCGTTTGCAGTCAGGAGGAGGTTGGTGGTGTTAGGATGGGGTAGTTGTTGGCTGAAGACTGCTACGTAAATCTGAACTGACTTCAATTTCGACTTGAATCTGGATAGAAGGACAGCTTCCAGAATGAAGTGTGTGTCTTGCATCTCATGTAGCTCTATGTCGCTGATAGTAGTGGGCAGGCGGCATCCAGAGCATTTGTAAAAGCTAACGTGTGAGGTAGGAAAGTGTTGGACAGCTCATAGCAAAATCTGGGTTGAACAAATCACACTTTCTTGAATATGATTTTGCTTCAATTTATCTTTTAAAATACTGAGTTTTATTATTTTTTTGCTGAAAAGTCTTTTCTGTGTGGGAACCTAGGAAGGTTCAAAGCAAAATAGGACTATACAAAATGTGTCTGGTGTTCTTGGATGATTAGGAAGCATACCTCAATTTGTCTGGGAACCATAAGCCGCTTCATGAACTACCGGAAAGTTTCAACATTAGAATCCTACACCATTAGCTTAGCACGAAAAGCAGCCAAAATTTAACTGGATTCAACACTAGTGATTCACACATTGAGGATGTTAGAGCCGTTGTTGATCAGCTATTGACCTGTGTTCACTCTTCAGTAGCTCCTCAGTCCTTGAGTGTGCTAAGATGGAGGCGCAGTGGGAACATGAGGAAGCCCCAGGCTTGGTTTCCCACCCAGGGGTCTCATGTTGGTGGGAAGGCAGGCATGGGCCTGTGAAGTGAGTAAAGCCCAACAGTGGTAATGGCTGGGCTTGCTTTCAGAAAGCTCGAAATGCAGGCCAGCCTCTGAAAGTTTATTATTTTATATATGCTTCTGGCTTTTGGATGACTGTCTTTAAAAAATAACTTCTCATAAAAGCATTCTTCAAATAAATAGAAGAGCAGTGAAGGGTCTCAGTTCTGCGTGTGGAGGTTCATTTACTGCACAGTATAATGTAAAGGCAGCACTCACTCAGCCTTTGAAGGTACTTCAGGGCTGTGTTAAACTGATCACAGTGAAGCTCTTATAAAAACGAACTGGTGTCCAATGGATAAGTACTACTATTTAGAAGCAGTTTATTAGATGTATAACTGAGGGTACGACTAAGTGAGCTTTTTAATTTTTTTTCTGTAAATTTTATTTGTTGGTGCTGAGAAGAGCGCACACAGTAAAACTAAACGGCCCTGGTCTCTGCATGATCAGCTCAGTGACATTGTATAGCCATTTCTCGTGCACCTCTTCTGAGCTGTCCTCTGAGTTTCCATGTACTCTCTGCCCTGGAAGACTCACAATCCTTTGTAGAAAGTGTGAAAAGGGTATTGTGTGAAAAGGGTATTATGTTCAGGACAGACCAATTTTTACCAGTTTAGCGGAACTGTTGTTTGGTTTTAAGAAGCCTTCAAGGGAGTTAATTTTGGTTGAATGTTTATAGGTGATCTCAGGCCCACCCCCCACCCCCTTTTCTTTTTAAGGGTTCGCCCACCTTCCATGGCTCTAGGAAGTTTGGAGTCCATGAGAATCTGAAATTCTGTTCTGCATTTCCCTCTATTTGGATCAGGATTTTCCTATGGAAATCTTTGATCAAAATGTTTTGTAGTGATAGAGGGGCACCATCTAGTTCTCCTGGTCTCACGGCAAAGGAGGCAGTGAGCCACACATTCCACCTCCCCTCCTACTCCCAACTTTCCTCATTCCTCTGTTGTTCCAGTAGAGGCCAGTTGGTGTGCCTTTGATAGATGTTTGCCAGCTTCTCAGACCCCAGGCACTACGTAGCAGACAAGAGGGATGAACAGAAACAGTAGCCACTGTATTAGGCCACTTCACTGGGCTGTCCCATGAACCCATGACCAAGTCCAGGAGGTGTTTGCTTGCACATAAGCAGCTCAGCAGCAGCACCTTGGACAGCAGTTATAATAATGGGCTGGCTGTGCAACCCCACCCTTCATCAGTGTGAGTGACTCTCCTGTCACCACTAACTCCCCTGCCCCTCTGTCCCGCCCCTGGGAACCTCTATAGGCTTACTTCTTCCAGTGTTTGTGAATAAGGGAAGTTACCCAGCTTTTGTATTTTTATCTTCCATTGTTGTTTATGTCACAGAGCAGAGAGTCTTAGCACAGGGCTCTGGGGTGGCCTTCCCGGAACCCAGGGAGCCTGCGCATCTGTGTTGTGGCTTCTGTGGGTTTTTCCAAGTAGAGCGTCCAGCTTTGTTAACGTCCTGGGAGACTGTGGGATGCAGACTTTAGCAGAGATGGGGGCTGGAGTTGCCCGTGTCTGCTGCCTATGTGTGACAGGGCCATGCATCCCTGTGTGTTCTGTGTCCTAGGTGGAGATCAGTCGGAGAGTAACACTGGAAAAGCTCCCTCCCGTGCTTGTGTTGCACCTCAAACGATTCGTTTACGAGAAGACAGGTGGCTGTCAGAAGCTTATCAAAAATATCGAATATCCCGTGGACTTAGAAATTAGCAAAGGTAATTCACACTCGGGCAGAAGCGGTGGTGAGGGCGTTACGGGAGATCTACACATGTTGGCTCTTGCTCTGTGATGTTGACACAAAGGGCAACTAGGAAGCTATATAACCTTAGTGGAAAACTTGGGGCTTTGGACCATCAGAGGGAGTGTGACTTTTCCATTCCAGTTGTACTGTGGCTTAGCCTGGAGTTGGAATGTAACTTGTTTTCATAACACCCGCTGAGGCCTCTGCTCACAGCGTCTCTGCTTCAGCTCTTGGAGTTTCTGGATCCCTTCGTCCAGTAACACTCAGGCATTTGATTGACTGAGTAAGTGTGTCGGGCCCCCTGTGGCTCTGGCCGTGGTGACAAACACGTTAGAGCCATGGTACCTGGTGAGCAGCACGGTTTCCCTCAGGCCGGGAGCACAGTGGGAAGTTCAGAAGAGCACTTGCCAACTTAACGACGTCATGCTTGAAGCAAATCTTGAAGGGACGATGTCCTTGCTACCTTCAGAATTTGTGAAAAACCTAATTTCTAATTTGTGGCATTGACTCTCGGTTGGGCATGGGACAAGTTCTAGAGGTGATGACAGGAGAGCCCAGGAGAGGACACCTGTCACTCCTTCCTGCCCACTCCACAGCACAACATGCCCCCTCCCTGTCCCAGAGCTCAAGGAGAACAGTCAGCCGATGGGCACATGGTTTTCCTGAGCCTGCTGTAATCTCACTCTCACCCTGCCTTCGAGTCTGTTCCATCACACAGTGACCCTGCTGGACCGACTGAACTGCTCCACAGTGCTGTCATCCTCTCTGAAGCAGACAGCCTCCTCTGTGCTGTGGAGCAGCTGGTGCCTCCAGCCACCGACCACCCACCAGAGCTGCTTTTGTTCATCATCAGCAGTGCCTTCTGTCCCCCTTGAGAAGCAGACAGTGGGGAAAGATGCCAGATCAGAATGGCCTCATCCTACTGTCTGCTTTGGCAACAGTGTCTTCATGCCTCCTTTAGCCCTCAGCACTGACAGGCACACGTTCCTGCATGGCATTCATTTGTGGGTCTCTTCTCGCTTGTGTGCACTTTTGTGTCAGCTGCCACCTCAGGGCGCTTTATTGAATGAGAAAGTGGACCCCAGGGCTGGCCCTTTCCTGTAAGTTCTTTGTATACGTAAGAGCTATTGTTTTGTTTTTCAGAGCTGCTTTCTCCAGGCGTCAAGAATAAGAACTTTAAATGCCACAGAACATATAGGCTATTTGCAGGTAAGAGCATTTGCTCCTGATTTCCTTTTTGTGAGGCATGGTGAAGTGGCTACGTTCAGGGCACAGCAGACTCCTCATTTGTTAATGTGTGCGGCCCCGGAGATTTTGATGTCTGGCATGGGACAGGATGTGTTTTGGTCCTGGGCTGACTTGGTGCAGAAGGGCCATCTCTGGCTTTGAGTCTTGTTGGGGGGCCCCATGCTTCCGGGTGGTACCCAGTGATGACGGTGCTGTGACTCTGTGAGCCCCCTCCCTCCCCAGCGTGTAGGAGGGGGGTGGCCAAGCTACCCCGGCACCCTGGCTGCAGGCACCTTGGAGTCAGTTTACCAGGGTTCCGGACCCAGGTCTCAGTGGGTGATGAACAAGAGGCTGTGATGGTCCAGGGCAGAGTCCTGAGTCCTCTGACACATTCTAGTCTCACAAGTAGACCCTGCACCGGCACGTTGTCTCTAAAACGTGAGTGAAAAACTCACCTGTCGTGACGACAGTGTCCCCTTGTGATGATCTGATTCTCCAATCTGTCCCTGTGAGGTGGGCTCAGCAGCTGCATGTGACATGTCACCTGGGCAGCTGCTTCAGAAAGATGCACGTGCAGGGCACTGTTCTGTTTAGGCTTCCTCACATGGAGGCACTTTCTTCCTGGAGAACACAGTGCCCTTCACAGTCTGAGCTAGCCATCGGAAGCGAACTCACAGCCAAGTCAGTTAGACTCCCGGGAGCTCTGGGCCTGGGCATGACTGATCCTACGACTCGGGCGTCCAGTCCAGCTCACTGCAGGTCACCCTGCACTCCTGTCCCTTTGCCAGGCCCGTGCTGCCCCTCCTTCTCCAACAAGGTCTCCTTGGGCTGTCTTCTAACCTCTGCATGCCTCTCCCAGCTGTCAGATTTGCTTCAGGCTGTTGGTGAGGACTACTGGATGGAATCACAGGGTTGCAAAGGGTGATCACACGTGGTGTGTTTTCTGTTAGAGAAATTGGTCTTCATTCGTTAAAAGAAGAGTCTCACTAGTATTCCGCTGTAGGCCTTCCACATCTGGACACCCACGTGCCCCCAGCTGGCAGTGTTGCTTACCCTTCTCCCTGGGCACGTGTGGCACGGCCATGCCTCCTGCCCCTACCCCCACATGCCTACACACAGAAAACCTCAGTCCTTGTTTCCTCACGGACTTTGTCTTGTTTCATCAGATGTTCTTAACCTCGTAAGTGAATAATCTCATCTCTCCATCCAGTTCACTGATTTACCCTTCTAATGAGCACTTAGGGTTTTCCCCTTTTTCTCAAAGTGCCACAGTGACTCGTACCTTTTTACTGTACACTGTTCCTATGGTTCGGTTTCTCTTGACTTTGCATAGAGTACCTATGTGTGCTCCATCTCTTTGGTCTCAGAGGAGCCAGGTGGGTGTGGGGAGGTACGCACTCAGTGTTCCCTTGTGAGGTCACAGCCCTGCCCTCTCTTCCAGTGGTCTACCACCACGGGAACAGCGCCACAGGCGGCCACTACACCACTGACGTCTTCCAGATCGGCCTGAACGGCTGGCTCCGCATCGACGACCAGGTGGTCAAGGTGGTAACACAGTACCAGGTGGTGAAGCCAGCAGCCGAGCGCACAGCCTACCTCCTGTACTACCGCCGCGTGGACTTGCTCTAGCCGCTCCGCTCCCACTCGCACCGACTCTCTCCCTCTAGTGGCTCTTTGCAGAGAAACTTTCTCTCCCTTTGGTAAAAATGGGCTGGAACGAAAGGGGGCTCTTTGGGGTTTGTGCACAACCTAGTGTATGTTGACTTTTAACTTCCGCATCTGAATCATTTGATTGAAACAGACTGTCACTTGGTTTAAAAACCAGAATAACACTCAAACCCCCCCATTTGTGAAATAATGCCGAGTCCTGAGACGGGGGCGGGGCTTTGCGTTTGATTCCCGGTCTAATCACTTAGTGGAATGAGGCCTGCACCAGCAACCACACTTGGAAATTTCTTAAGAGGAATTTTATCTTCCCTTAAAACAATAAGGTTTTTAGTCCAACACACGTCCCTCCCCTGCCTTTGTTGTTGATAAAAATAAATAAGTAAGCCAGAGCAGAAGTAGTTCTTTCTTTAAAAATAAACACAAGAAGTAAGTTGCTGGTTCTGAACAGAACACATACATGTTGTTAATTGTGCAATGAGAAGCCGCTTCCATACGCGTTGCAGGTACAATGTTTGGAGTTAATCTACTACAAACGGTGGTGGTAACTTCATTGCCATTTAAAAACAGATTTCAAATTGCATTCACGCTTCTGTGCACACCTAATGAAAAATGGGCAAAATAATGATGAGTGATTGTCCCCGAGTCTGCTGTCTGTCATTTTGCCGTCTGCTTCCTCTACTGCTGAGTCTAACTGTACACAGTGTAGTGATCCATCAATAAAAATCACAACGTTGGTTTCAAACCTGTTTGCTTATCTCTTTGAATGTGAATGCTGTTTATCGATAGTGGAGGCCACCTGGCTGTGGGTGCACCCCAGAATGGCAGTAGCTTGACTCGCTTGTGAAGGCCGAACCCAGAGCCCAAAGTTTCCAAGCCACTGCCGTCGAGTTTATCCCGACTCCTAGTGGCCGTGTAGGACACAGTAGAGCTCTTTATAGGGGTTGTTACTGTTTTCAAGGGCCGTTGAGTCAGTTCCAACCCATAGCAACCCTGTATAGGGTTTCTCAGGAGCAACTGGTGAGCTTGAACCACTGACTTTGGGGTTTAAACTGACTTTGCAGTCCAGCGCATTAACCCACAGTGCCAGTAGAGGTTACTAGGCTGTAAATCTTTCTGGAAGCAGACTGCCATAATCTTCTCCCTTGGAGAGGTTGGTGGTTTCCAACCTTAAGACTTTAGTGGCCAGCGGGGCCAATTCTCCGGAGTGTCTCAAAACTATAGTGGTTTTAATTCAGAGTGAGCAGCCTTCTGACCAAATGCTCCCAGGCCAAGCCAGCCGTGTCCCCCCACCCCATTCACCACCTCAGCTTGTCTGTGTGGCAGAAGGGGAGATGCCCTAGGATGCAACATGAGAGGTTAGGCTACCCAATTCTGGGTTCTCGTGCCCCAGCTGGGTCGTTCAATTGCGCAGTTCAGTAATGTGATTGCATTCTTCAAGTTGTGCAACTGTTCTCACTGCCCTTTTCCAAATTATTCCACCACTTTCACACAGACTTACAGCCCACTAAGCAAAAACATTCCAACCCACCCCCGGTGACACCCAAGGATCTCTGGTTGCACTCTGTTTGCGTATTTTCTATATGGACATCATACAGTACTAGCCCTTCTGTTGTTGGCTTCTCTGAGCACGGTGGTTTCCGGGTCCCTTCACATTGTGCTCATGTTTCAGAAACTCACTCCCTTTGTCTCACATGTGCCTCACGTGTCCGGTAACATCTGGTAACGGCTCCGTGGTATCCACCTTTTGGGCTGTTGTGAAAAGCTATGATTGAGCCGTGGTGAGGAGGTTTTGGGTTGTTTGCTTTCCTTTCCTGTCTTTGGGGTGTGTACGTAAGATGGGGATTGTGGGTCTTAGGGTAGTCCTGTGTGCCAGTTTTTAGGCGCTTAGTTTCCTAGCCTATGCTGGCTTCCCCTTGACATGTTTTTAAAGATGCGTAAACTGAGGGATAAGGTAGAGGTGCATTGAAGTTTTCCATCAGCAATACCACAGAATACCAGGCAAAGCGGGTTCAGGGCAGAGCTCCAAAACTCTGAACCACATAGGTAGGAATATTTAAAAAGTTTGAGGCTTATAGCTAGTGGAACTTATAGCAGAAGTAAGAAATCGCATACTTTTGAATCTGCCAGGTTCAGTGGCCCGGAGCCAACAACTTGGGTGAGACCAAACAGCAAGACCAAGCAGGGGAACGAACCCACCACGGAATAACGCCGCAGGAACCTCGGAGCAAAGGTGGACAATACACTTCGTCGGTTATGCTTTGTTCTGATTTTATTTTTTGGGGGGTATCTGTTCTTTGGCCACCCACTGTTTGTGCACCTCCATTCTGGTGACTAGAGAGGGTGCCTGAGTGAGTGGACATTCCCCGCCCCCACCACTGGTGGGTTCTTCTACCACTCATGTGCGCAGATACTCTCAGCCCAAGTGCCGGCATTAAACTGTTGTTTAATAGGGAAAAGCCCAGAACAAGGTGTGTGGAGAGGGAAACAGTTTAAAGACAAAACAGGACTAAAATTAAATTAAATCCTGAGGTATATCATAACAGTCAACAGTGGCATCTTGAAATTTATCAGACGGCCTTGAAGGCAAGAAGCTAAAAGGAAACAAAGTCATACTCATATTAAGCTACAGATTTTTATTTTTTCTTTTCTTCTCTCCCTCCTCTCTCCCCTTTCTGCAATTATAGGTTACAGTATCCAATCTAGTTTTTTTGGTGCTCTTGTTTCTTTCCTTTTGCTGTTTTATGCTCCACCTTTTACCTTTGGGGGACTCTTTATCTCCCTGTATTACCCAAGAAGAGACAGCAACTGCTGCCACATAGTGAAGCTACAATCACACTCTATAAAACAGCAAAATCCAGCGCATACACATCCTGAAAAGTGAAAAGATAAACATTCAAGAAGCTCAAGGAACCCCAGGAACAACAGACCCCCAAAAGAAAGTCACTGAGACATACCATAATCAAGCTCTTCAAAATCAAAGATAAGGAGAAAATCGTGAAAGCAGCTAGGGAAAACAGAAGTGTCACATACAAAGGCAAGCAAGTCAGATTAAGCTC